AAATGTCTATGTCAGAAAGAGTACAGGCTTGCCTCTTGTTGTATGAATTACTAGAGTGACTAGCTGGTTTAAAATCTGTTGTATGAAATCAACCACTGCATGTTAAGAATTTAGCAAACTTTAAGCTGCCTACAAAAATGTACATTAGGTGAAGTTGACATACAACGATCGAAGGGTTTTTAAAAATCTTGTGTTCTAGAGTCACTGAAATTACAGCAATCTTTCTCTTTCAAGTTCATTGGACCTCCTACCAATGCTGACAACAACTGAAGCACTGTACATACATGTAAGCACTGTTCAGTAAAAAAGAACTGTTCTGCAGACCTTGACTACACCTGTCAAGTAACATGAAATGACGCATCAGTATACACTGCACAATGGCTCAATAAGATGACTACTGTGAAAAAAGTGTTCTGCTGCTGAAATGATGCTGTACTGAAGCAACATCAAACAATCCTACACACATAGATTTTTATCTTATTCACATTGCAAGAAAGAAGAAAAAGGACTTCAAGCCTTGTATTCAAACTAAATCTTATCAAAAATAATTCGAAAACTACTCACCACCTTAAGAAGATGGAGCACGTCTCCCAAGGATGAAACTCACCCAAACCTGTAACTCCATCCTGTCCACTGACGGCCGCCATCTTGGATTCGGAACACCCGCCAGACAGAGTTGCACCCTGGGTACTGCCTGTTGTCAGAGAAGGTTTTGTAAGTTTAACCAGGCATCCAGTGACCTACTAGGAAACATTAAGTAGCGTGCCTAGTCTTATGTGACCCTGCCTCTGGATCTACAGTTCAGGGGTTCGAATCCCGACTGTTGTCGCTCACCCAACATGGAAAGGGTCGCAGTCCTTAGGATGGGACATTATGCCTTGGTCCACTTTTCATTGTGCTTGCTGAAAAGAGCTAGGGGAAGTTCCCTTGTACAATGAACCTGTAAATACTGTACATATCATCTGTGTACTGTTGATTTCCAAAAAATGGTTGTTGTTGCATATGTTGTTTTTTTCAGTTAAACTTCTCACATGAATAGAGTTTCTAGATGACTTTTTTTAGGAGTGTAACTGCATACGTGTTACCAAAGTCACCACACAATTGTAAATATGGTAGGCTCTGGGTGAATTAATATTTCAACTTCACACTTTTCAATTTTGGTAGAACAATCTATTCCCAGGTACACTTGGCATTTTCAAAAGCTTAAAAGAAATCACAGTGAAAGGAGATTGACTCTTGTTAAAACCAAAGACCTCCAAATTGCTTGAACAAGGCTGAGGCAATAAAAATCATTGCCAAGGCGACGACTGAATGATATATATTATTTCATGTGGTGGAGCTAGCAATCTACAAATATACAATTATCAGAAAAACATATTTCCCTATGTTATAAAGACATGCACGTAGTGAAATCTACAGGATGGGTGGAGGAGGTGTGGGGCCCGGCAATATACCAAATACACGTATAGGAGGAATCAGCTGTTCTTCCCCAGCAATATAGATTTTATGATGACATACTTACTTACTTTACTTTGGTCGAGTTACCGCTAGAACCAAGCTGAAAACCATCCTCCACTTCACTCTATCCTCCACCAGAGACTGGATTTTATGTCTTGTCTGAAGTTGTTACTCCTTTGACTTTTTTTTACCTTTTGTGGGTTCCAAAAGGACGGATAATTTCTTTTCTCTCTGTGACCTGTTTGAATATGGTCTTTGGCCAAAGACAGCTGTGCTCTCTGTCCATGGTGTGGGGAGAAGACGGATGACCACTAATTAATCATGCCAGGCAGCTGGATGGGTGACACATGGGCACCCGGTGTAAGTTACCTGCTTGATCCAAAAACCACATGGCCGAAGGTTTCCTCCAAACCAATTCCCTGGGGAACGCATTCGTGCAATTTTTGAAATTCTTTCAAAGCGATCGTAGTACTTACACAAATGCCTCCGCCCCAAAGGCGTCGCCAAAAAGTTGATACATGAGATCCATAAAAAGAATGGCACACTGTCACTTCTACCATGCATTTTTGTGGAAGAGAGATGTGATTCAAGGCAAGCATCTGATAAGGCCACACCAATTTAATTTCTTGGTTAACGGATTTTTCTAGAAAAATAGTACAATACGAGCCATGAAGTCAACACACCAGGCCAGTTCAAAACTTAAACAATGAATTTTGAACTTTTAATGATACCACTGCATTGAAAGATGGAATAACTGTAAAAACTAGGATGAAAAGGACTGTTTTCAACTGTTCAGGGCAAAATATGAGCATTTTGCAGTTTATTCTGAATTCTTATTTTCAAATCAGAAAAAAATTTAGCGGGTGAATCCGTTAACCAAGAAATTAAATTGGTGTGGCTTAAGGCTTATAAATGTTTATATCTTGACAATAGAACAAATCACATCTTGTCTGAGGTTAAGCAAATGTGAAGTGTTACAAAATTTCTTTTGAAATTCTAAACTTTCTGAAACAAGATGCTTTATTCCTTTATTTATGTACTTATTGGTTCGTGGTAGTATTTACTATTCATTATCCACTGTCTTCAAAGAAGAAGTCAAACTCCATAGTATCTAGCATAGTAGTAGAAGTATAAGTTTTTCCAGACAGTTTTTGTCTGTCTTCTATTATTGTATTGCACTGAGTAGTATCCTTGATTGTAAAAGCAATTAGCCTTCGGGCACGATTTTGCAAAATTAAGTTTCTATGATTGTTCAACTTTAATTGACTACAATTTGGAAGGTTCTGTTTGTTACTTATTGCATGTTTTTT